TTTTTTCCTTCACAGATGCTGCCAGACCTGCTGAGCTTCTCCAGCAACTTTGTTTTTGTTCCTGATTTACAGCATCCGCAGTTCCTTCGGTTTTTATTTGGAAAAAATTGTCGTAGTTTTGATTGGAAACATATTTATTCTGTTTCATGAATCCATTTGATATGAAGTAGTGAGACAGCAAAACAGTGTCGTAGAAAGGGCAAAGGATGTAGGTTAAAGATAAATGTTGAAAGTAGGTGTAAAATAAATACAAGAGGGCTGCATTGCAACAGGGATGACACTGATTACATTTTTCAACATTGTAAAGCATATTGTAGTGAGGTAAATGTACTCTCTGATGAACACTGCTTTCAATCAGTTTCCCATTGTCTACAAACTTATGAATGGATTATATCATTGCAATGGTTATTACTAAATTTGTGAACTTAAAAGTTGTAACAAGTATGTAGGACAAACATCTGTTGCTCAAATATGGCTAAAACCAGTTTCATTCTGACTTTAGATATTTGCTGATTGGAGTTCAGTTAGTTTGTACTTTGCCTTGTTAAAATAAAAATAATGGTGGCAATTATCTAAGGAAATGGCTTGATGTAATTGGCAACAATATCCTCGTAAACATAGTAGTTCCCAATGAACTCACCATGGAAGTGTAATAAAACATTAAATGGTTGAGTTCAAAGTTTGAAATTTGTTTTTATACGGGTCATTGCACTTGGAGTTATGCTGCATATATTGCAACTTCATCAGGCCCACAAACTGCTGAAAATAACACAATCCTGTATTTGTATAGAGCCTTTTAAAAATGGTAAAATGTGCCAAAGCTCTTCACAGAAGTGTTAGCAAACAAGATTTGATGCTAAACCACATAGACTTTGGGGAACATAAAAAGTGGGTTTTAACAAGCAGGAACTAAATTTTAAGGAGAGTTTTAAAAGAAGAAAGAGGCTGATAGGTTTAACAAGATTTAGACCTTTGCATTTTAATATACAGCTGAGAGTTGTGGAGCTTATTAAAAGCAGGATGCTCAAGAGGTCAAAATCAGAGGAAACCTTGAAAGCTGTACCCGTGCATCTTCTGAGTTTTCTTTGTACATTGGTGATTTGTTGAAGTGTCCGTACATTTACATTTTTGTTTTGCATGGTTATGCGTGCATGGTGTCCTAAAGATTTTGTCATGGTTGGCTTGGGAACTTTCAAGGGCAACTGTGCGACTTAGGGGAATCGTTGGTTCCAGGGCTGGAGAAGATTAGAGACTCGGGTGGAATGTGAATGCGTGGAAGAATTGTAAAACAATGACATAAGTTTTAAGATCAAAATGCTGCTTGACTTGGTTAAAAGCAGAAATTTCTGGAAAAGCTCAGCATGTCTGGCAACCTAGTGATGAGAGAAACAGAGTTAACATTTCGAGTCCAGTATGACGACTTTATGCATCAATAGAATCACTACAGTGTGGAAACAGGCCATTCGGCCCAACATGTCGACTCCGACTGTCCAGAGAGCATCCAAACCAGGCTCAACACCCCGTATTACTGTAACCCTGCACTTCCCATGGCTAATCCAATTAACCTGCATACTATGGGCAATTTAGCATGACCAATCCACCTATCCTGCACATCTTTGGACTATGGGAGGAAACCTGCACAGGCACTGGAATTGAACCAGGTCACTGGTGCTGTGAGGCAACAGTGCTAACCACTGAGCCACTGTGCCGCCCCTTTAGAACTGAAAATGATGCTGCCAGATCTGCTGCATTTCTCCAGCACATTCTCTTTTTAATTTTAGATTTCCAGCATCCACAGTATTTTGCTTTTATTTGGCTGCTTAACTGGGAGCCAGGACATATCAGTGAGACTGGGACTTAGTGTGAATTAGGGCTTGGACAACACAACCTCAGTTTTATGGGAAAGTAGAACATGCAAGAACAGCAAGGAGTACATTTAAACAGTCAAGTCTAGAAGTAATGGAGGCATGAGTGAGGATCTCTAGGTGATCTAAATGATGGAGCAGATGTGCAATCAGAAAGCATTTTGGAGTCAAATATGGCACTAAGTTTGCAAACATTCTGGTTCAGCTTAGTCATCTGCCTGGGCAAGGGATGAGGTTTGAGATAAAGGCTGAAAATAAAGGCTTCAGTTTTGCCAATGTTTAAACCATAAGACGTAGGAGCAAAAACAGGTCGTATGGCCCACTGAGTCATTCAGTTGGCTTATGGCTGATCTCATAATCCTCAACTCTACTTTCCTGCCTTTCCCCCATATCCCTGGGTTCCCTTACAAAAATCTGTCTATCTTAGCCTTGAAAATATTTAATGAGCCAGTCACAACAGCCTTTGCAGTAAAAAAAAAGTCCACAGATTCACTGCCCTAGGAGAGAAAAAAATCCCCTTCATCTCTGTCTTAAATAGGTATAATCTCAGAATAAGGAATTGCTGATCATCCTGGAATTTGCCTGTAAAGCAAAGGCACTGCTCAGCATCTACTCTGTCAAACCCCATAAGAATCTTATTGGAGTTGAGAAGAATGAGAGGTGACCTTGTGAAACATATGAGTATGGATCCAACATAGTCTACCTTTCCTCATATGAAGATCCCTCCATAACTGGAATTAACTGAGTGATTCTGTAGACTGCCTCCAATGATAGTATATCTTTATGGAGTTCAAGAGACCAAAACTTTTCGCAGTATTCCAGCTGTGGTCTTGTATAGTTTTAGTAAGATCTCCCCATTTTTATACTCCATTCGCTTTGAATTTAGGGCCAGCAGTCCATTTGCCTTCCCTATTATCCACTGAACTTCACTAATTTTTTTGTGATTCAGGCAAAAAGACACCCAAATCTCTCTGTGCTACAGGTTTCTGCAGTCTTTCTGGATTTTAAATAATATTAAGCTCTTCTATTCTTTCTGCCAAAGTGCAGATTCACATTTTCCTACATTACATTCCATCTGCCAGGTTTTTGCCCACTTGCTCAACCTGTCCATATCTCTCTGTAGACTCTGTCATCCTCACTACTTGTCTTCCCACCTATTTTTACATCACCTGCAAACTTGGCTATAGTACACTCATTTTATTCATCCAAGTCATAAATGCATATTTTAAATAATTGTGGACCCAGCACTGATTCCTCTGTCAAACCACTAGTTACAGGTTTCCAGCTCTGAAAATGTTCCCTTTACCTCAACTCTTTGCCTTCTATTAGTTAGCCAATCCTTTACCCATGCTAATATACTACCTCCAACACCATGAGTTCTTTTGTGTGGTATCTTATTGAGCACATCTGGAAAATATAAATATAGTACATCTATGGTTCCTCTTTATCTTTCCTGCTTATTACTACCTCAAAGAACTCTCAAACAATTTTGTCACAGGCATGATTTCTGCTTCAAGAAGCCCAGCTGATTCTGCATGATTTTGTTATATATTTTTAAATACTTTTCAATTACAGCCTTTATAGAAGATTCTAGCATTTTCCTAATGACAGATGTTAAGTTAACTGGCCTGCAGTTACCTGTTTATTGTCTCCCTCACATTTTTGAATAAGGGTGTTACATAATGTTTAGGTGTGAAAAATTTCTGCCTGTCCAGGACTGGTTGTTGGATACAGGAGGGGGTCGAAGGAGGTGTTGGTGAGATTGACGGCCATCCAGTTCCATGTACATGTGAATTGTGTTTATTTGGATGGTGCCATAGAGAAGCATTGTGTGGATGAGAAAGAGGAGACTGGATAGATCCTTGGGGGACACCAGAGATAACAGGGTGTGGGAGAGGTGGTAGGCAGCCATTGCTGGCAGTTGTCTGGCTGTGGCTGGATAGTCAAGAATAGAAGCGGCTTCCTGAAGTTCAATCTAGCTGAATGATGGTGGCAAAATGTTGGAGGAGTGGTCAACTTATCAAAGGCTTTGGACAAATCGAATAGGTCGGAGAGGGATAATTTGATCTAATTGGAAATAACATTTGGAGAAGAATTGACATTCTTGTAAGATTTCTATATTTAAATTTTGCTAACAGTGGATCTTCCTGTATATTAAATGTACTTGGTTGTGTGCAGGTGGTGGACATTAACTAGAGTTTCACTTGAGCATATAAAGAGACGCTTATTGAAATGTGGTTGTGTTAGGAAGTGAATGCTTGAAATATTTATTTCTGTAACTAAATGCAAGTCTGAGTAAATATTAACTCTCGTTCTTTGTCACCACTGGCTTTCTGTAAAGTAAC